GAATGATTAATCATTCCGAATTAAGTGAATTCGCAAAGTTTTTTGGGAATAATTTATGAGGATTTAGAACAGAGTTCCATGACATTTGGCATATTGACCTGATTCGAGAAAGTTCGAATGCAAAACTCTCTAATGACTGAAATTGTTAATTTTTTGCTGAATGCTGAGTGGCACTGAGCGGAATTAAGAGTTCATTATTTTTTGTTTGTTCTGAAGGTTAGAATGGCTCGAGCTGAAAAAGGAGTATAAAACCCTGCAACGCGAAGCCATGAAGAACTTGAAAAAACAACTGCAAGAAAAAATTCCCGTCAACTCCAGTCAAGCTGGAAACAAACCTCTAAAGTCAACACAAAACAGAGATGATGCGTCATATAAGGAGACCGAAGAAAAGTCCTCACAAGATGGTGGCGCAACTGTAAAGACGCTATCGTACACTCCAGGAGTTTTGTTAAAGTTCCATTGTCAAGGTCGTGGAATGACCAAAAAAGAGTTGAGGGTGAGAGGAAATAAGATTGCCTAGCGGAACGCAGCGGTCAAACTTCTGTGCATGTGCGACATTGTAATGACTAGGTGGCGTGCTTTCAGGCTTCCAGAGCCAAGTTGTTTCACACGAGTTTCAAACAGCCGCATAAGCTAGTAAGTCACGGTGTTCTAAAAGTGTGTTACTTTTTTGATAAAGCTCAAAACACGATGGGGGGTTTTGCTTGAAAGCAGTTGTTTCTTATGCTTCCCACTGAAAGTTTGCGCGGGAAATCAGCGTGCGGCCGGTAAAAGTTTATCTCCTTGCACATGCCTCTCTCGTTTGACCGCTGTGTTCATTTAATCAGACCTGGATAACTTGATACAGTACCTGTGCGGACATCGCAGATGTCGCTGGTTCAAATATAAGCGGAGCACTTTGTTATAAATATTTAGGGCGAAAAATGCATGTTGTTTTTCTTTTTTGTACTCGCTTCTCTTAAACACACAAGGTCATGGATAAATTATGAGCGTTTCCTTTTTCCAATTTGTAATCGTAGGAGAAAATTTCATGGTCTGCTCCCGTGGCGTATTTAGATCTAGAAGAAGGCAGTGTTGAGGTAAGGTAAATCTTTCCTAAATAACCGTGACATGATTATATTGACATGGTTTACACAATTCCCTCTAACATCATCACTTTTTGACATTTCTTTTTTATTTCCTTGGTTTGCTGCTGGGCCGAGCATTCATGCAGTATGTAAGAGGGAAGGCGCAAAATTTCAAATTACGTCATGCCATGTACAATAGCGCGACTGCTCTTCCAGTTAGGTTCTTTAAGTAACCGCTGTTTGGGAGCCCGCGCTCCCTCCCACCCCAGCATATTTCTAGCCAAGAATCTGTTTAATGTAAGATCATTATTGAAACACATTTTTTTTAATTTTCGCAGGGTTATGTTCGTTTTCATACGGCAGAAAATTGTAACTTGGTGCTGAAAAAAATGTCATCTGCAAACGATGAACTGCAGCTCAACAAACTGACGGGTAATTTTAATTAGCTTCCTAGAGGTCTGGAGAAATAAAACCTTCAAGTTTCGATGGAAAGTTGGGGAAAATGAAAATTTGAAAGCACCCGCGTGTGTTCTCGCACGCGCGCGTTAGTCCTGCTCTCGCCGCGCGCCTACTATACGTCTCGCGCGTCTCGCGTAGTTCAGACTACGGTATGAAAGGCCTGAAAAGCTTTTTTCGGGAAATTGAACGAAAAAGACTGTTTGCTGGTAGAATGGACGGCTGTAAGGTGATATCAGACGCCACTCGTACATGTTCAATGAACAATTTTGATTAATTATGCGAGAGAAACTTTATCTCTATAAGGAAAAGTCAAGGAACTTTGAAACCGAAGTATGTGGTAACAAGATGATTACATAATGACAGATTGAAGAGAAAAAGGGTTTACCTCATATTATAGAATTCTCTCAGTTATTGCAAGCAGACTCTCAAATGTTTCCATCTTGTATTTACGCTTATTAAAGGCAATTCTAGCCTTTTTATTTTACTTTTTATCTTTGAATTTGCAGAGAAGGAAGAAATATCATATTGGGAAAAGATAAATGCTGACCGTATGAGTAGATATAATTCTAAGAGGGAGAAAAAACGAGGGACCGAAAAGGTAAGGATTCTTGATTTAACAGGTTCTATCATGACTAGGGCGTTCGTATTCCTTTCTTTGCCCTCTATATGGGAATTTCAAATTCTAATGCAAGAACTTTATAAATTCAGCAGGGCTGAAAATTAACTCCAGTGCTTGGTGGCCAGTCGGGCAAGTTTCCTTGAATTCTTAGTGGCCAATCCCAAAATGAAGTAGCCCTTGATTTCCTCTAGTTTAAAATGAAAAACTTGAATAAACGTCCCATGGCTTTTAACGGAGCGTTAACTAAAAGGAAAGAACAAGCTCGTGAAATCATTGTTAAAACGGCTCGGAATTTCCACTTCAGAACTAAAAAATTCGCTAAAATTGGATGATCTTAGAGTCCAGGATAAAAACAAAGAGAAACGTAGTCCAATTAAATTACATATTGAGTTTTATTTTAACTTTGTACTTCGCATAATCTACATTACAACTTTTCGAAATTCTGTATCATAGTTGCACATCGGGCGTTCAAAACTTAACTTTTGGTGGCCCTGGTCAGTTTAACTCGCCACTGGCGACCGTGCAACCGCCAATTATTTGCCCCGAATTTAGTGCAAGTACTTTAAGGCGCTAAGAAAAACATGCTACTTGAAGCTTCATTTTCTTTCTGTAGAGCAGCCTCTCGCAGAGGAAGATTATGCCAATGTAAACATCATAAGATCATAAGAGGTTAAGAGTTAATTATGAGATTCAATCGCTCCGACGAAGGGCTAACGCTCGAAACGTCAGCTTCTTCACTCTTTACGGTGGCCAATTTACGTTTTCAACTCAGTTGTTAACACTAAATTACCAGCTATACTCTCCCACTGACGCAGCACCACAGTTTCTTTAGAAACTTACCTCCTTTATTCATTATATATTGTTTGGCCAACCTTCTTTGCGCGACTAACTTGAAAACAGAAATCAAACATAATGAACTTTTTTGAGGTGTTGAACGGGTTCTTTCATTTTGCCTGTCAAAAAAAGTTTATGTCAAATATCCCAGCTACATGCAGCTTTCCGATGACCTTGGTAGGTCTTTTTCGTGGAAACCAAAGCCATTTTGCCCTGAGCTGCAGGAAGAACATCATCCTGTGCGTTTTTTAAATCTTCTATCGTAGCATTGTTTTCTGAAATTGCTGCTTTGCGTGAAGTGGAAACTTCATGCATCGTTTGGTCGTAGACACGTGGACTTTTTTAACCCTTTAAATCCCATGACTGACCAAGACAGAATTTCTCCTTACAATATCAATACAATATCAAACAGACAAGTGATGGGAATAAAGACAAATATTAATTATGGGATCATTAGTTGATCCAATACCTAATTCTTTAAACCAACGTAATAAGAATTGTATGACAGACAGTAGGGAGAATTACCAATGAGATCTGGAGAGTGTTAAGGTTAATGACTCAGATGTAAAGGTTGAAGTTTTTAAGATTGTTTCTATAAAAATAGCGTGACTCTAAGACTCGTCACTTTTGCTTGCCGCTCGGTTAAAAAATTAGGTAGCGAGAGAATTTGAAATGCAGACTGAACTGATATAAGTTAATGGTTTTCTGTGGTTCTATAAACTTATGAATTTTCGTAACTTACGGAGTTGTTTAGACGAGATTCATTTATAGTTGCCAATGTTTCTGTCGTTTATTTGATGGATTAATCTCGTTTGGTCTCGCCTTTTGGTCAGTGCTGAAACCCAAACAGGATTACAAAACTGTGCAATAACGACAAATTCAACGAAGCGTGCTTTTGATTTGGCGGTAATTGTTGGATCACATAGGCGGCAGCGCTTTGAGTTGGAATACAAAGCCAGCCAATCAAAACTATACCGCTGTGATAAGCTTATTTAATTCCATGTGACATGAAGTGAAGTCAAAGATACATTACTAGCACTACGGCATTCTTTGCTTATGAACAGACTCAACATGGAAGAGGGCAACCAGAATTTATTCTCACCAATGTCAAACGAAGCAGAGTCGTAACGCAGTGGAAAAAGTGAATCCAAACTCATTTCGTTCACCAGATATATTTTCTACTAACACACAGACATAATGTTTTTCTAGAATAACCCTCCGACTGACTGGGGTCACTTGTCATTGTGCTATTTAGCTTTATTTACAGGCCAAGTACACGAAACATTTCGACGAAACATTCCCACGCAGCTTCGCGCAGCGTTGCAGGAATCTGTTGTGTAATGACGAAATCTTGTGCACCTTTAGGAAAGGAACGATTCGAAGAAACATTCGTCAGGATGCTACCAGATACATTTCGCTAGAATGAGCGCAGGTCACTACAATTATAGTATAATCTTAACTTTCACTTGGTCAGTCGAGCGCTAACTTAGTTGCGGTTGCCGTAGGGACCCCGACAAACCCACGCATTCCTTCCTAATGGTTAAAAAAATAAAAAAACAATGCTGTTTTGTGATGCGTTACACTGTAACTGTGCATACGACAGCTGTGTTGATTGATTATCAAAACTAATCTATGCAAATTTCATAGAGAAATAAAGCATACTCGAGTTTCCTCTACAAATTTAGAGAAGGATTGAAGTTCTAAAACATGTTTTTAATTTCGTATTTACCGACGGTCGCTTGAATCCAAGGCTTTTGCTGATTAATCTGTGGCTTTCGAAAAATGTGTAACCACTGTTATCAATGATGTAGCTGACTTTTCTTTTCTGCTATGTGAGGTGTTCTTCAGAGGTATTGGAGCAGTAGTATCTGAAGTTTATCTTCATCTACGAACATGTTGGCAGCGAGGTCCCAGTCCTGTAATTACAATTTTAACATCATGAAACCTCTTCTCGCTCACAATTCTACGCTCTGTTACTTACGGCGAGGAGTACAACGAGGTAATTTCTATGAATAACTTGAATGGAATCGCTGAAAGATTTGGCGAGAAAGAAAGCTTTGAACATATTCAGCTCTCTCATATTTGTTATTTGGATTATAGCCTGCTGTCTGCTAGGTGGAGGTTTCTTTCTAATCGAAATCAGCCAGTCGAAGTCTGACATCAGCTGTGATGGAGAATTCAAAGACAAGGATGAGAAGGAGCTCATCCGTGAGGAGTGTTTTGATAAATACGAGAAAGAATACAACAAATTTACCTTGTATGGCTTCGTCTTTATTAATTGCTTCATTCTCGCAATGGTCACTATTATTTACTCGCTTTGCCTCCAATCGAGGGTTGGCGAGCTGGAAATCCCTAACCAAAATGTCGAGGAACAGCCCCAGCGAAGTAGAGTTCTTTTTACCGCGTACTGTTGTCAACTAGCCGCCACAATTGTTCTGGCGGCTGTTTTTATCATCGTATTGCAGATTTATGCGAGTACCGATTTTCCTTCGAATTTTGAATGTGATCCTTTTGAACAAGGTTCCAATTCCTCGGCGTTTTCATCTACAAACGGCTCACAGGCAAAAACTGATATTTACCCGTGTCGCAATAGACGAGCAACTAAGAAATTACGTGGAAGTGTTGCCTTGACTGTTTTCAATGGAATCTTGGCCTTTTTCGCAGTTATTGAACTTGTCTGGATCTTTTCACGGGCAAGGAACGGTATGCAGTTCATGGATGACCCTCAATTTTATGCTGATCATTTGAGATCCAACCGAGAGCAAGAGCAGCGGCCACAACAGATTGAAGAGGCAGTACTTCCTCCTCTGCTCGACTTCATTCGTCTTCCTGAGTCCGCTCTTCGATCCCCGCGAGACTCCGGTCAGGTTGGCGCTGGATCATTTCCTGAACAACACCCGGTAATTGAGTCTATACCTCTCACGCAATCAGAAAGAACGCCTGAACAACAACCGGAACTACAAGCGGAATTGAAACGTTTGAAGGACTGTATAGAAATACGCACGGAGCGACTTGAAGATCTGAATCAACCTATTCGACCTCGACCAGGAGAAGGCTCAAAACCTAAAGATCTGGAGCTCGATCAAATTTTTGTAAAGTTGGTAATCCATAAACATAGAGCGAAATATGACTTTCCTACAGATAGACGGGAACAACTCAAAGTATTCCCAAAACCGAAATCGAATCAGTCTGTGTATGTACCCTGGCAAGATATTATTGATGGTAACAAAAATATTCTTCTTGTTGGACGTCCAGGCATTGGTAAAACAATCTTATCCACTAAGCTGCTTCGAGGGTCTGCATTCAATGAGTTCACGCACCAGAATTTTGATGCTGCATTTCTTGTGAAATTTAGGCACTATAACTCTAGAGGTGAGGACCTTGATCTTCGTAAATTGCTGTCTTGCTCAGAAACAGTAAGTCAAGATCTGGATGATGAGGTCTGGAACTACATTATCACTAACCCAACCAAAGTTCTGTTGATTTTTGATGGAATTGACGAGTTTAATGCCAGGTCAGCGATCTCCAATGATGACTCGCGTTTCAATGACTCAGAGGAAGAGCAAATGCCTCTCCATTGTCTCTACAAAAAAATAGCCTCTGGAAAACTTCTTAAGGGTGCCACTGTTATTACCACATCGCGACCAACTGCTTCCTCATGTGTTAGACAACTGAGATTTGACAAAGTATTGGAAATTCTTGGCTTTACATCTGAAGAAATTGAAGACTATGTGACGAGGTTTACCAAAGAAGACCAGAATCCCGAAACCGAAAAGAAAGCAATATGGCAACACATCAGCACCAACATCAGTCTCTTTGCTTTGTGCTATGTTCCGGTGAACTGTTTTATCATTTGTTCCTGCTTGTCATGGTTGCGTTCCTGTGGCAAAAGTTTACCTACAAAGCTTACTAAGATATACAGTACAGCACTTAAGATTTTCTACTTCAGACATAATGATAATTATCGCATGAGTGAAGAAGCCCGTGATCAGCTTTTTTTAAAACCATTTCACGAGTTACCCACTGAATGTAAAAAGGAATTTCAAAGACTAGGAAAAATTGCTTTTGATGGAATTAAAGAAGGGAGACTACTTTTTACTTCAGAAGAAGTTAAAGAACTAGAGGATTGTGGATTGCTCCATCGTTTACCTGACCTGCCTAGCCAGGAGGGACTTGATGAGGAAAAAGCTCAATACTGCTTCATTCACCTTACATTTCAGGAATTCCTTGCTGCTAAGCATGTGGTTGATACCAAGAAAGAAGCCCAAGAATTGCAACAATTTATCACTGATCACATCAATGAAGATCCTTGGCAATTAGTGGTACAATTTGTGGCTGGATTATTAGTTGACTCTGATAAAGCTAAACAAGAGCAATTTAGCGAAATGTTAATGGAGCTTCTTCCCATGTCAACTTTTGAAGGGCACGCTATACTAGGGCTGACAGATGCAACCACATCAATTTATTGGCCACATGGCAAAAGTAAAACAGCTTTAGCTGTGACCTTATGTAAATGTTTATACGAGCTAGAGGTAGAGCAGCAACTTTCCATAAAAGAGAAAACGGAAAAAAATTCATTTAATGCAGTGTGGCTTTGTGGCTGCAATCTAGCACCTGCAGATTGTGCAGCAATTTTACATTTCCTTAAAAATTGTAAAGAAAAATTGGCCTTGTATTTGCACTATAACTCCTTGGGTGATTTAGGTTGCATGGAAATTAAAAAAATGATTGTTGAAAGTGGGGGTGATTGCAACCTAATGGGGTTGGAATTCGCTCACAACAATATGGGAGAAAAAGGAGTAGAATACCTATGTGATGCACTTAAAATTAAACATTGTAATCTCACAGTGCTATTCTTGGAAAATAATGATGTAGGAGACAAAGGAGCAGAACTCCTGAGTGATGCAATTAAAGATGGAAATTGTAAACTAACTCAGCTGAACCTAAACCGCAACAACATTGGAGTAGAAGGAGTAAAACACCTGAGAGATGCACTCAAAGATGTAAATAATAATCTCACTGCCTTATACTTGGCTTATAACAATATAGGAAACAACGGAGTAGAATACTTGAGTGATGCACTGAAAGATGTAAATTGTAAACTCACTGTGCTAAACCTGACAGGAATTGATGTGGAAGACAAAGGAGTAGAACACCTTAGTGATGCATTAAAAGATGTAAATTGTAAGGTCTCTGTGCTAGGCCTGGAAAATAACAGCATAGGAGACAAAGGAGTAGAACACCTGAGTGATGCACTAAAAGATGGAAATTGTAATCTTGTGAAGCTAGAACTAAATTATAACAACATAGGAGAAAAGGGAGTAGAACACCTGAGACTCACTGAGCTTGGCCTGGGTCATAATAAGGTAGAAGACAAAGGAGCAGAACACCTGAGTGGTGCACTTAGAGATAGAAATTGTAATCTTGTGAAGCTAGAACTAAATTATAACAACATAGGAGAAAAGGGAGTAGAACACCTGAGAGATGCACTGAAAGATGCAAATTGTAAACTTGCTGTGTTACACCTGGCTAAGAACAACATAGGAGAAAAAGGAGCAGAACACCTGAGTGATGCACTTAAAGATATAAATTGTAATCTCACTGAGCTTGACCTGACTTATAATGAGGTAGGAGACAAAGGAGCAGAACACCTGAGTGATGCACTTAAAGACATAAATTGTAATCTCACTAAGCTAGAACTAAATTATAACAACATAGGAGAAAAGGGAGTAGAACACTTGAGAGATGCACTGAAAGATGCAAAATGTAAACTTACTTTGTTACACCTGGCTAAGAACAACATAGGAGAAAAAGAAGCAGAACACCTGAGTGATGCACTTAAAGATGTAAATTGTAATCTCACTGAGCTTGACCTGAGTTATAATGAGGTAGGAGGCAAAGGAGTAGAACACCTGAGTGATGCACTTAAAGATGAAAATTGTAAACTCACTAAGCTAGTACTGGAAGGTATCAACATTGGAGACAAAGGAGCAGAACACCTGAGTGATGCACTTAAAGATGTAAAATGTACTCTCACTGTGCTAGAGCTGGCAGGTGACAGCATTGGAGACAAAGGAGTAGAACACCTGAGTGATGCACTTAAAGATGTAAATTGTAATCTCACTAAGCTCAGCCTATGGTCTAATAATATAGGAGATGAAGGAGCAAAACACCTGGCAGATGCACTTAAAGATGCAAATTGTAAACTCGCTGTGTTAGATCTGAATTTGAATGCAATAAGCAGTGAAGCAGTGAACTTAAGTGATGCCTAAAAGGTTGTCAATTGTAATGCACTCATTTGAAACTTATAGCTGTAGATATTGAAAGCTCGACACCTAAAGCGGTCATTAGAATAATTTTGTTTAACCCTTTACACCCTAAGGTCAGTATGCATATTCTCCATACTGTTCTCAGTACATTTTTTAAGGTGCTGACAAAGAGAATTTGTTTCTCAATCAAGAGCTTCCTCAGTTGGAGATCATTTCTTTCATTCTCATAACCGTTATGTGTGATTCAAGGGTGATATTGTAAGGAGAAATTAGATGATACTCACTCTTAGGGGTTGAAGGGTTAAACTGAATTTAGTTTAAATAAGCACTAAGCTTATCTATATCTCTGTATAGTGACAACACCTTTACTATTTATGATTGTAGGAAATAAAAGAGGAAGATGTTGGAAACTTTATGCTTTGTTTCTTGTAATAAGAAGGAAAAGATGTCTTTGGGGTTTCTTTTCATAGGATGCACAATTTGATCAAATTTAATCACAATACAGCATAGTCAGGTGAAAATATTACATTGTGTAGCAGCAAAGATGCTGAAATTATAATGAACTGTAGTCAATGCACCCTAAACCAGCAAAACCTGAACAGACTGTACCCTTTTGGATTGAACAAAAAAAAAAAAAATAAGCCAAGGAATACACAGCTGCTTTGAAATAATTCAATGTAAAAACTTATGACTTAAGTAGTTTGCATTTTACTGACTTGTCATGTATCGAAAACCACAGTTAGCATCATGAAGAACAGATTATAAAGAAAACGCCTTGAAGGGAAACAAATATTTATTCGAGATATTGGGACATACCAGTTACTGATGGTAAAATCCCAATAAAATTAATGTTTGACAGCCATTGGGGGAGTTTTTGGTTCTCAATAGTGAGGATTGAAGGCATCACAAATGACAGGAAGAAGCTGAACAACATTTGTGCATGTCACAAATTCGAACCTGTATCCATAGCAACAGTGTACATTGATTACATTAAAAGTGTTGATATCCTTGATCATTTAAACTCTACGTAGCAAACATAATTTGGTAACTATTGATGATGACTGGCAAGAAAACATATTGAAATGGTTGCAGCTTAAGCCACATAAAAATGTGTTCAAGAATGAAATACAAAAACTTACAGTTAAATTTCTGCAAATGTTTGGCAATAAAGCTGTTGTGTGCAAGGGTGAGTGACAACTGTAATGCAAGTTTTACGTTTTACCTTTCCACTTTCATCTTGAGTTGGGAAAAAGACCATGAATGACTGTATAGAGTAATTGTAGGCCCTCATTAAATTCCCCGAGTGCACCGCGTGTTTGCTCACCGGTTGGTGTCCTGTGGGACCAGGGGACTATTGATATGATATTCCAAATTGGGAAGACAAAAAAATTTGCAAAAGTAACTTGGGCAAAAACAAGAAAAATCCTTAACCCAGAGCTCAGCTGTGGCTCTAGTCCTATTTTCAAAAATCCCTATAATGGGGGAAAGTGCAGAATTTTCTTTCAAAAATTAGAACTGCACCATTAAAACTGGCCTAAGTCCCCGGCAAGGTGTTGTAAAACATGTTAGAGTATATCCATATGGATATTGCACCATTTCTATGCATCATTTTCATTATTAGTAAATAACAGTGAGGTTGAGAAGTCCACTGAAGTTACATGTCTCAATTTGGTAGATATGAAATTCAAAAAAAAACCAGTTGCATATTTGCATTCAGTTGGGCTTTCAGTTGGAAAGGAACTTTCTTTTTGTGCCTGCATTTGCCTAAGGTTTTTATTCAATTATTATATCCTGTAACTGTTTCTGTCTTGGTATACCAGAGATGCAGGTTGCTCACATATGTATACTGAGAGCTGAAAACAGCATTTGTTGTGTGAAGACCCTTTTCTGGGGGTGGGGTGGGGGAAGGTAGTGACATACATTATTGGCTGTTAATTCAATACTTATTACTAGACACTAGTTTCATATTTTTTTTTTTTTTTTTTGAGTTTTGACTTGATTAAATTTTTTTGCAGGTTAAGGGGTGGTAGCAGGGTGGGTCCTTTGCCAAATAGGCAGTTTCCTTATGTTTTCTTTTTCTTGGTTCACAAAAGATTCCAAACTGAGATAGATTTTAATTATAAACAGCCCCAAGTGCTAGGGTGAAGACATTTAACCCATGCAAGAAAACCAATTGCTTATTTTTCTTATCACTAAAAGAAAACAAAAATTCACTACCAAAGCTTATTAGCAGATGAACTTTTAATTTAATGGGGTTGTTAGAATGGTTCTCATGAACCTATGAAATATACTTTAGCATATTTTGTATTATTACCCTCCAATTTGTTTGTTTCCATTTGAAGTTACAACACTAGTATAACAAGGCTAGTATACTTTAGCTAATACATTTTGGTTTATTGGTTGAAGTAATTCCATTAAACCAGGTGAGTACTAATTAACTGTTCGTGTTTAGGTTGATTTTCATTTTCCGTGAAATAATTTGCTATATGAACCTCACTCTTGCAACAACACATCAGTTTGTAAAAAGAAAACAATGTTAAATATCGACTGGCACGATATTTTATCTTTCTTATACTTAAACGAATTTTTTCACGACAGTTAAACCAAAAATTCGTTTTAATTAATAGTTTCTTTGCATTTACATGACAGAACAATGTAGATGACATGGGTATACATGAAACAATACGTGCATAGACAAATTCTCTAACCTTTCTTCTTTTGTTCCTTAAACTTCGTATTGGTATTCTGCTTGATTTACGACCACGTCTACATACACGATGAGATTTGTGTTTATGCTTCTCTCGATTAACATTAGATAGCTCAGCAGTTAATATACCATATTTCTAGATGAAAGGTTCACTCATAAATGTTCGCTTATAAAGAGATCTCTCATACAGTTCGCGACATCTTTTTAGTGTGGGTCTACCACGAACGCTGTGTGCATATTTTTTGAGCGTTTTTAGCGTATTTTACACAGTATCTGTACTGATTTTGCACCGCAAAGACTTCTCTTCTTCCGCCATTACTCTCATGGCCATCAGTCACAACGTTGCGCATGCGTCAGAGTTAACACGTCACGCATGCGTGTTAAGTATTTGACTGCTGGAATTTCAACTCGGGCGCCCGAGTAAAAGATGGCAACAAAAATAACCTACAGAAAAATGAAAACATCATCAACCCAGAGACCTTGTGGGCTAAGGAGTGATTGACATCAACGCAAACAGCATTATCCGCTACCAGCGGGCTGCTGTTGGTGTGAATATGTGATGATCGTGTACTCTAATCATATGAAGTGGGTGAGGACACTCCATAGAAGGATTGTTGTTGGTAGTAGTGACTGATGTTTCGACAACCTGCCAAGCGGTATTTATCTATTTTCCCGCTCTCTCTTCCCTCACAGTACATTCTAACTCGAACCGTAAATAGTAGACGTGAAAAACGGAACAACGTAGATGGGCTAGTGTTTAGATCTAAAATATAAAAATTCATTTAATAAGCTTTAAAACTTTCCGTTGTTACATTACAGATCTAAAGACATGAGCTTATTTTGAATAATGTTAGCTAGAATTAGCAAGTCTTAAAATTACTTATTCTTTAAATTACGATTTAGACCACAAACCGTCGTCAAGCCTGCAGATAAGGCGTTATTTTGGCGAGCGAGTGCTCGGTATTTTCTCATTGAAAACCATGGCTGCCATCTTAGAATTTTACAATAGCGTAAAGTTGGGGAGAGAAAGAAATTTGTATCAAGGGCGGTGAGCGACGGTCAAAAGGAAAGAGAGGAGAGGGGTGGGGCAATAGAAATTATTCTTGCCTTTCGCCGCCCCTCCCCCCACCGTCCACTCTAGCCCTTAATCAAACATGGCCGGTCGGATAAACGATCGCGATCTTATGAGACGCCTGCACAGAAGGCTAACTGTTGTCAACCATATTTGTTATTCCATTGTTAGGTTTCAAAAAAAGCAGAAGCACTACAAGTCCAGCGACAAAGTCATATACGTTTTAAAGACAGCGATGGTGAAGAGGAAACCTAAGATCAGAAGTGAAAAGAGCCCCACATGTATCCGAGACAAACATTTTCTCTCTTGGGCTTCGTACTTGGACTTAAAGGCCGGTGCACTTCAAATGCGACAACTTTTAAGAGCCGTGGCCATTAAATACTATTTGATTATACTAAAACACAAGGAGGGTACGGGCCGCTCTTTCCAATACAGTGACCTATGTCGCTATACCAAATAGAGGTATTGACAGGCTCCTAGCTCGTTCTGGTCATTAAGTTAGGAAATGAGGCTACAAACTCGCGCAGTGCTAAAAAAGGAAGGTTCTTGATCTCGACGCAACCTTCAAAGTTGGAATAAGTGGCTAGAATAGGAAGCTTTATAAACTCTATACTATTCTTCATTTCCCCCCCCCCCCCTGTTCGCGACGATTGATCCTCCTCGGCCCCGTTCCCCCTGAAATCACCCTCAAAATCTCCCCCACCCCTCCCCTCCATAAATAATGACAGGTCCCCTAACGCTTTACCTCCCATGAGTGACTAAGAGAGAATTTCTCCTCACAATAGAAATACAACAGCAAGCAGAGAAGTGATGAGAATACGGTCAAGTTAGGTGATTATCAGTTGATCCGATACTAAATTCTCCAAATTGACATCATAAGAATTGTATGGCAGACAGTAAGGAGAATTATCAGTGAGATCTTGGGAGTTAAAGGGTTAACGAAAGCTAAGAATTAGACTAAACATGTGAGCTTGTCGATTAATCTCCCACTTTATTCTAGTACAAACTAACATGATGTCAAGATGGTCAACAAAAAAATTTGTCGTCTTGTGTTCAGCCACTGTTGGTTTAGTCTAAGATTCCTCGGCCAAAGGAAATCGTGATTTATGGTGTGTACAACAGCATGGATGAATCGTTAATTTTGTATTTATCAGCAAAGTTTTGCGCTTTGTTGCCCAGTTTCTTTGTGTGCTTCTTTTTTCTTATAAACCTTTCCTCTTGCTCAAACAATCCCTCTTTGTCCCACTCGTCACAAAACCGCGAACTCTTTAATCGATTCCAGAGATCCCTCTTTATGCAAACGAGAACTACGAGGACTTAAAACAGATGGGAAAATATGTGAATGTGAGCAGTTTTAACATAAGAATTCCGCTTCTTTCACAAAGGATAAAGCACTGTAACTGGTTTGGTTTAGTGTGAATTCGCCCCATTGCAAGCTCGCCCCTACCTCCTTTCCGACTTCGCAAAATAAGTTCGCCCCTACCTAAACCAGTTCGCCCCAAATAGTTTACTTTCCTCAGAACGTATTCCTACGGAAATCATGACGCCTTTACAACCAACATGCAATTTTCACAACGAGACCATAACAAAGTGCGAACAACATGCAAATTCTGGATCAATATCAGTATCTGGGCGAATGCCCACCTACCCCTCCCCTAACCCAACATTAACCTTAACTTTTTGTCAATTGACTGTTGTTGAGTTAGGGGAGGGGTAGGTGGGCAGTTGCTCAGGTACTGATATTGTTCCCAAATTCTTAGCTGTGTCAATCCTTTAACCCTTAAAAGTGACTGGCATCTAATTTCTCTCTACCAGATCACCCCTGAATAAAACATTAAGGTCATGAGAATAAAGGAAAAGATCACCAACTAAAGAAGCTCTTGATCGTGAAACAAATTCTCCTTTCCAGAACCTTAAGAAATGTATAGAGAAAGTATGGAGAATATGCATATTGATATCGGGGTGTAAAAGATTAAAACGCACGACTAATGGCAAAGCTGCTATTTTACACTAGTCTTTGTTTTATTTTAGTCATATTTTGTGTGATTTAAGTACCTGAACTAAGTCTACTTTAAGAGTGAAAATAAGCACAATCAAACCTTGAGCTCATGGCGACTAAAGAAAGAGTTAAAAAGATGGGGTGGATTCGTTTTACGTTAGGGTGGCAAACTTGCAATGGGACGATTTTGATAGTTACCGCTGGTTTTTCAGGTCTGTGGTAGATGAAAGAAAAGGCCATGTGGATAGCCAGACCATAATAAGAAAGGTCTTGGTATTCTGAAATCATACCTTATACTCACCCCCCTCCCCCCTATGATGATACTGATGATGAAATTAGTGACCTAAGCGTTTGCAAATTTCGTAAGTTTAAGAAAACTTACTTCAAGAGTTGAAAATTGATGGAAATGGCCGAAATTATACAAATTAGCAGCATTGGTCTATTATGATCACAACTGCTCTTTTTATGGATAACTTTTTCTATTTTGCCTGCAGGTTACCATAAGCGAGTTCATGTGTTCAGTCCGGGCCATAAACAGTTTTTTTTCTATACCATGACGTCATGAAACATGGCGTTACAGTCCAATTTTTAAAACCTTAGAAAACTTAAAGTCCCGCATTTTTGGTTGAAATTCCTAATACAGTTTTCTTGAATTTTTAGTATCCGCACAATATGTCCCCTTAATCCCTGTTGGGGCCACGATTATTGGCGGTTGGTTTTGTAGTAAAAAGAGCCAGTCAGAGTAACGATGCATGAGTGGGAAGCGACGGAAAAGAGAAAAGAGTCGCGGAACTATAAAGGGAGTGGTGGGTGGGAAAGCTTCAGCGGATGCGGAGGGAGTTGAAGAAAACAGAGAAAGGAATTTCGGGACTATACAGGGAGTGGTGGGTAGGGAAGCTTTGGAGGATGAGATAGAAGTTGAACGTCTCATTAGTAGGACTTGTCACTGCAGCTTCATAAAAAAAAAAGAAAAACAAGAAGAAAAACTTACCAGAAATCAATACTAGCGAGGTACAACCGCTTATAATAGCTAACAGTGGGGTGTCCGTTTTCTCACAAGTCTTCCAGTTCCAATCGTCGCAGTTTTTTGTTTCATTTTTCTCGTTTTTGACTCCATAAACTTTACACAGTAGTTGTGTCTCGCACCAAAAGCATGAAGGATCTTGTACGCATCTGTTACAGTTTTCTGCGCCGCTGCAAACCAATGTAGAGTTCGTTGTTTGACTGCAAAGAAGCCTTGATCCCAGGTAAAAAGCTGCTGAGACAGCAAGTAAAGTTTTTTGCAGGAGATTCATGGTTGGCAGACAAGAGTAAAGCTCCTTTCATTAGAAAATGTATTTTAAGCGATTTTAATTCGGGTGCAACGCATTGAATACGGTTAATTCGTCAACCTCTGAGTTTAAATCTGCGCGTGCAAGCTTAGTCTTATCAACGAGACAAGACATTCTTTTTTCTTATCGACGTAGCTTCAATTAATTTTGAAATCGCTCTGAAACACTAGTACCTAGTAGAAGAGGAAAAATAAGCCGTTTTTATTGTATTTATTTCTTAAAACTCGAGTTTTATACAGGGTTGCTAAGTTACCAAGTTACCGTGAGCTTGGCAATGTTTTGCGATTCTCGTGGCAAATCATTGCCTAGGCAAATCATTTTAAATCTCTTCTAACGGGGTTCGCTTATCTTTACAACATTTCCCTGATTTCTTATGGTTTCAAAGTGTAGCTGTATTTTGTTGTAAACCAATGAGCCATTCTAGGATGATGCCCGTTTCTACCAGGCCGCACAACAACAAAATCCACTTCTATTTTAGCAAGAGGTAAAACTGACTATGCGATACACGAATCATTCTCATTTGAACCAGTCGCCACATTTAATTAAAACATTCTCGCAGTATTTGGGAGGAGTTTCGCTAAAGGAAACTGAGAGAACTTAGAAAAAGAAAAATTCAAAAAAACTTAATCGAATATTATGTGACTCATGTAAAAATAGACCAGCGCTGGGGATTCCCCCAAACACTAGCAGCCATCAATTATAAACCAGCCGCCACAAGAACCAATTTCCATATCACATTACTGGTCGCTTGCACGGGGATCTTTCCCTTACGATTTTTCTTGGCTTTTTAAAAGAGAGGGTAAGTTTGAAATAGTTTGTTGATCATTCAAGTGTGTAAAAACGCTCGAAAAGTATTGAAAATGTCGTGCTTTGACGTATAAAACGCATCAAGCACTCAAACTAATTCTATTCAAAATGGCGGAATTTGTGCTTCGTACAGCATGTTTTTCATGCTTTTCTCGGAATCAAATGGACGAAATATGTCTTCATTAGAAAGACAGGAACATGTTCTATAAACTTTACTTCCAATTTTTTCTTTAATTAGCGGAAAATCTCGCTTCTTGCGCCAATTTGTATCGAGCGGATCGATGAAGCGAACTCAAAACCGTGGACAAAGACAGAGCATATGGAAGCGAACGACACGCCATGTCAGCAAGTTGCTGAACTACAAAGGGAATACGAGCGACTCTCTTTGGAGAAACACCAGTACCTTCAGACCTTAAACAACAGTGAAGCGTTGAAATTGCAACTACGCGAAACTCGAAAAGATGCTAAGCATTTATCAAAACAGAAGAAGAAATTGCAAGCCATGACGGATATTGGGAAGTCGAGCGAAGAGGTAATGCAGTGGGTGATGGTATTGATATTGTTAAAGCAGTATTTCTTAACCCTACTTAGTGAATGAAAATGTGAAACTGGGATAAAAAAAACAGAAAAAAAATCAACGAGACACATCATAGTTTGGTTCAGAAACTCCATCCTGTCAATCAACCGTGATTTTAGAGAGAAAATGATTAGAATAAGCTAATTCAACGAGTTTATTCATGCGAAAACAAAAAAATCTCTATTTTCATTGTAAACAGCTGTGTAACTACCTTATGAACTTGGCCACCAAAAATTTCTCTAAGAAATTCCGTGAAGGGTAGATTGTTAAAATCGATTCTGATGGTTTCCGGCATCCTTATTCATGGAATTACGCCATGTTTAAAGAAAACTGGCGGTTAGTGAATCCAGTCCGAACGGGAAAATAATTTTCTTTGTTCTTCACAGCCGTATCCCACGCAAATATTTAGAAGTTCAATTCCAACGTGATAAAGCAACCAACTAGTTTTAACCAACTTAATTTTAAGGCATAGCATCCTTGACAGATCCTGACCCTTTGTCGGTCATGTGAGAAGCTTAGAGAGATCTCATCACCAGTAGAAATAAACTGGAATTGAAAGCGCGGGGGTTCCCTTGCGGACTAAGCTTTTTTGTTTACCACGCATACAATTATAAATTGCCTACGCTATGCTTGTAACATCAAGTGGTTTTAAGCGTAACGCAAATGTGAAGCAAAGCTTTATCTTCAATCACCTTTGTAAAAGAATGCTGGCTTGAAACCAAAACTATTGAAATTGAAAACGGTAAGTTTGTGATCATGGATTATTCCAAGTTTTTACTTTCATTTATTGAATTTTTTTCTTAAAGAAGCACACCACATTTGCCATGGTGTGCACTGTTGCCACGGAGGTGCACCATGGAAACCAATATAATCTACCTAATTCAAATTCGTTAAACTGCCCACACAGTATCGTCACCAACTACTTAGTTATATCTCGTCGGCGTCCGTCGAAGCTTAATATTATTCGCCGTAATCCTTTTGAAATTTGCGTCGGCGAGAAAACAATAGATGCAAACTCGATTACAATTTGCCAGAAGTGCCTTTCCAGTTTAGTCACCAAAACTTTTAAGGGAGCTCTGTACGTTATAAAGCGATCAGACTCCTAAACTAAGTCAAAGTCGATAAACTAACTTATATTAACCTGTAGAATTGATCCAGTCCAATTTAAGAAATATTATTTATATAGCATCTGATATGAACGGGATTTTTTTCTAATTAAGGATTTGACAAATCCTCGATGTTTGTTTGTGTTGCCAAAGAATCTCTAATTTCATGTTTTCATTCATAAGTAAAAATTTAAACATGGCATGAAGTATTGAATAGTGGAATTTAAATCAAGGAAATTTTGTGTCACCGAAATTCTGGCCTCGGCTAGAATGAAGAATATTTACCAAAGAGGTGTGAAAAAGCACAAGTAATATGCAAACGGTCAAATTTGTTACTTTTGCTGCCAGGGGAAAAAAGGAGGCTCTGTAGACTTTCTGCAAATTTCATTCTTTATAAGTTCAATTTTCCGTGATAAACAAATACAGCTCTTCTAAAAGTATCGCTTCTGAAGTTATTTTAAGCCTCACATAAAAAATAAAACTAAACAAAAACAAAACAGTTGAGTCTTCGGTCACTGGGAGTGGCTAGACGGGGAATAAAAATATGGGTGACGCCGATGGGAACTTCACCAAAGGAAACAACTCCCAAAAGAATCGCAAAGCTCTATTTGGGTCATTTTTTGTTCACACACTCTCTCTTCGGGCTTTTCCCCCATCAAGTTAACAACGTGTTTCAGTTTAAGCGGCGAACGGCTTGGCACAGCCATTTTAACATATGGCTGGCAATGCTTTCAAATTTTGTTTTGAGACCGTTTATAGGCGATGATAAGTCAGACTTTCTACCCATTACTGGCAAGCAATGTTTCAAATTTCAATACTTGATACACTCCAAACTGTTTTACGTTCGGGTTTTGCTGGAGTTACATTTTGCGTTTGTTAAGTTCTTGCGAATTTTTTCTCCTAACTGAATAAATGATTATCTTGATCATTTACAATTTTGGTCAAACTTTATCCGCTTTTAAAATCCAGATGAGGCAGTACCAATATTTGTCAACTTAGCGTGGTCGACAGAAATGCGGAAATGCTAAAAATAACTCGTTTACTTAAAAAACTAGCTTCGAACCCTCTATAACTTCTGTCGTGATATTCTTAAACTGAAAAGTGTTAAACTCTGTGGTCTGCAGTTTTTAGTTCCTGTGGAACTCAAATTAATCAGTGTTGGAAATTTTTGTTGCATGTTGGTTAAAGAACTCCGAACCTGTAACTAAATCCACATGAAGCGTACTTCCCCTTAGCGAAGCTATGTTTACTTATTGGCAGAACAGTATGGCACATGAACTTCTTTTTGGCAGGAAATTTACATTCAAGAACGTGGTGTTTGATACTTAAAACATCAAGAATGAAAGTGATACTGGGTGTAAATTATAACCTAGCTGATCCTAGAAAATATTGAGTCGTGGAATATGTTTGTATAGTTTCCTGTGGAGAGCGCTTTGCAGGAAAAGTGTCGCGTTAATTTTCATAGAGGTACGAACCTGCAGTTGTGATTGAAACAAACTTGAACATGAAGTTTTTGGAAAGTGAAATAATTCCGCAAAGATTGTGTGAAGTGCGAGAGGTTCACCATATCGTATCACAAACAAAGAGTGTGATAATCCTTTAGTTACACCTCTTTCCGGCGACCCTGGAAAAACTCCATTTTTGGTAAAAATCAGGCTGGTTTTGCATTCAGTTGGTTTTAAGTAGAGCGAAGCATCGCGCTATAAGAGTTTTATTGTTTTCAGTATCTTAACAATAGTTCTGTTTGTTCTTATTGACATAAATCTAAATATTTCACTTCCGCTCCGTGCATTGTTCCTTAAATATTCCCCGCTTTCGTTTCACAAATTTCCCCGAACAAACCGAAATTTTGATAACACTAAATTTAGTCAGATGACACCCCGTTTCACGAGGCTAGCAAAGTTTACGATCATTTTAGAAGTTGTCTCTGTGTATAAATTCGGCAAGCTGGCGTTTCGATACATTTATTACCTCAACTTCACTTCGATCGAGTTACGCTGATAAGATGTCATGGATTTATCAGTCTCTTCAAAGTGGACGCTAGTGGTAATGCTTTTTTCCTTCTTTTTTTATTTTTATGCGGTTACCTCGATCGGCGATCTATTTCCGATCTTTTCTAAGTTTAGATGAATCGACTTATTTCGGCCGTTTCTTGTGACGTACAAATTTCCTTACTGTTATAATATGTTCCACATGAAGGAAACTGTAGAATGTTGGTGCGATAAGCCGATTGACAGAGACCTATCAGCAAATGATCGAGCGAGACGAGGACAGACTAGTGGTTTGCCTGTATGGTAAGGTACAAAACTGACGCAAGAAAAATTGACACAGATTGAAAATGACGATCTCCGAATGGCCATGACGGTTCCTTTAATTTACAGCCGAAAAATGTCTTCTCTGCCTCTAAAATGAATCATGACATCATCCTTTCATTTCAACAGTATCTAAATTTTAACCAGTAGCCTTGAACGGCTCTGTTGAACTTGAAAAGTTTATCTTTTGCAAAGCATATGTTTTCACTTTTCTACTGAACCCAAAATTCGAATGATTTGTAACATGACTGCATGTGTAACCAGGGCATATCGTTTTCGAAAGAGAGTCATTCTTTTCCGCCAGAATACCGTGACAGTCTTGGCATACATACTTGATTCCATCACTAGAGAAACAACTAAGTAGGGAGATTCTCAATCACCGATTCTCTCTATTTCCTCACAAATTTTATTCTAGAAAACGAAATTTATAAGACGTGTCTTTTATTTTTTGCAAAAAGTATCGTAAAACTATTCAAATTGCTTTGATAAAAACAAACTTCCAACAATTAATGATATATCGGTTTATTGAAATTATGTACACGTATTAGTTTCATTATCCATTAGATCGTGTTAAATGTTTCTGGTCTAAGGCGCGAAATAAAATCCTACTGAGTTATTTCCTACAGTGGGCTTCGAAAATAAGAATAAGTTAATCTTTCAACCTCTGGAAGTGATTAACATGTAACTTCTCCCTATGATTTTCACACATTATTCAGCAAAAAGGCATTGAGAATACTCAAACTTATCAGGTAGAAGTTGCTTACTTAATCTGACACCAAATTATCGTAACTAATTTACGATAAACTGTTCAGCAGCTAGAGGGGAGAAATAACGATCAGATCTTGGGAACTGGGCTGCCTGTGCTTAAATGCGTGGCTAGGCTGTGGTGGTGCTAACCTCTTTTGATTTATACTGTTTGGTATGACTGTAATCCAATTTTTTTTCTATTTTTGCCAGACATCAGAACAGCCTCCTGAAGACCGGAATCCTCGACCAGAAAATCGCTTTGCTCTAGAGCCGATTCACATTGCACCGGAAGAAACATTTCTTTCTCGAGAACAAACATACTCTCTTCCATCACAAGAAAGTTTCTCTCCTCCGTCATCCCCACAGGATTCAGAAATGAATGGTCACATCTCCCCAGTCCTCCCTAGTTCTAACGGGTCTGCTAAGGTTGAAAAGTCCCCCGATTGGGGCACCCTGGATGCCAAAACTGAAGCTAACGCTTTAAGGATTGAAAACCGAGATTTGGTCAGGATGAAGAGGAAACTGGAAGAACAGGTTCGAAACCTGTTTCAGGAGGTTGCTACTGTGGGAACGAGATGTAAAGAACTTGAGAGTATTGCTCAGCGGTAAGTTACTTTTCGTGGATGCTCACGCGCACTCAATATGGCTAAATTCTGATATCAAAAGATATTTACCATCTGAATGACAGCAAATGGTACAGGAAAGATTCTTACTTCATCCTTAACATACTATTCAAGGGAATTATAAACTAAAGACAAATTTTCAGAACAAGCTTACTACTAGACTTTTGTGAGCTAATCATGGTTCCATGTTTTCCAGCGCGTCGCGTCGGTGCCTTTTTTTCCCGCTTAGTGCCGGTTCCGACGCCGGCTCCATATTTTCCCGCGCTTGAGACTAGCTCCATGCTTTCCCGCGCATGGTATCGACTCCGTGTTTGCTGGTCCACTTTGGCTTTGGCGACCTCCATTTTCTCTCTCCTTCGTTGAAGTACAAATTGTACTTAGTTCTTGACATACTAAGTCCTTTCTGAGCCTTCTACGCGTGAATAACTAAAACTTTTCCTTCTTATTATAGCCTTGAAGCCGAAAACCGACGCCTTTCTCATCAATTGGGTCTTGCACATAGCAGTGTGCAGAGAGGTCATCAGTATGGTCCAAATGAAGAAGTCCAACTGTTGAGAGCGCAGGTATAATTCGATATTTCTAATTTTTTTTCTTTTGCAGAAGAAACTAAAAACACAGGGGCTTGCCTCTTGTCGGTCATGGCACCGAGTACGATGACAACAACCTTAGTTAACTCCTAAGTTCTTGAAACTGATTTTCCCTTCTTGTTGCTGGAAAATCTCTCGTAAATTGTTCACATGACTCGTTTGTTGGGAAAAGTAATGACCATCACCATATTGTTCTCTATACATTTCCTAAGTTGCTGACAATGAGAATTTGTTTAACAATCAGAGGCATTTTAAATTGGTGATCATTTCCTTTAGAACTAGTATGTTTATCGCATCTGGGATTTTAGAGTTTAACATAATCAACCACATCTTTCTTCACAGCTGAAATTGTATGAGGATGATTTCAAGAAAGAGCGATTGGAAAAAGAACAGTTGATCACTCAAAAAGAACGCCTCAAGAGAGAGCTGAGCGACTCCAACGCAACTGTTGCTGGTCTGCAACGTCAGCTAAAACAGGTAGATACGATAAATTAAAATACCATTTTTATACAGCTGAAGGTGTAATGTTTGTTTGGGCACATAAAAGAACAAAATCCCCGGCGTGTGCAGTTTGTATTCAACTAACGTGATTGCCGACCATCGTTCTTTCCCTTTTGCCACTTGTAATGAATATGAAATGTTGGGGACATAGTTATCCTTTGAACAAGCTCAAAGTCTATGCGTTGAACGTCCGCTCGCAATACTAGACCCACAATCAAACAGCTCTTATTTTCTGCAATGGAAAATCTGTAGAGCATCAACTGCTTACTGGACCTGGGATATGCGTTCTAGTGGTTAACACGTTAGACTCTGGATCGAGTAGTCCATGGTCGAGAACTCTGGCTAGGAAATTTTTTTGTATTCTTGGCCAAGACGCTTTACTCTCACAGTGACTGAACTTTACCTTTACCTACTGAATAAAACTGTCAATGTTTGCAGTGTGCTGTTTTCTGAACTTCGTGTATTTCTTAACATCAAAATAAACCTTTGAATTTCTAGGCTCTCAATGGCGAGGGTGGATATGGTGATCCACGTGGTGCACGAATGCCAATCATGAGCGAGCCCTACGTCGATCCCTACACTCTGAGGCACCCTTTGGATTATGGGATGACTCGTACGTACTCGGGAGGATACATTGGTCCCGGAGCAAGCAATGTAAGTACTGACTTCCTACCTCTGATTATGCTAGCTACGTACTCCTCAAGGTTTACTCCCTCTGTCTGCTACCCCTCTTCTACTTCATTCTGTCCTTCTTATTCTGCATCTCCTCCTCCTTGTTCTTTTTCTTCATTTTCTCCCTCTTTCCTTCCTTCTCACTCCTTCCTCCCGTTCTATTTTTCCTTTCCTTTTCATCTTTCTCCCTTCCCCTTGTGTTCATTTTCCTTTCTCATTCTTTTCCTCTTTCTCCTTCCTCTCATTCTCTGTTTTTCCTGTTTCCTTCATCCCTCCTGCTCATCCTTATTTCTTTTTCCCTTCTTCTCCCTTCCCTTTTACTTTCTTACTTTTGTTTTCTTTCTTTTCCCTTCCCTCTTGCTCCTTCTTCTCGTTATCTTTCCCACGTCCTCTTCACCCCATTCCCACCTCCAATTCCCCCTCCGTTTCCTCTTTCCCATCTTTCTCCTCTTTCACTTTCCTCTTTTTCCTTCCCTCTGCATTCCTCCCACTCCTCCCATCCCCTTTCCTTCTCATCTCTTCCTCAGTCCTCCTCCTCACATCCTCTTTATACCTGTACTTTTATCTTCTCTTTTCCTTCCTCTCCTTGCTTTTCTTTCTGACCACTTTTCCTCCTTTTTTCCGTCTCCTCATCCTCCACCTCCCTTCCTCTTCATTTCACTTGTTCTCCTTCTCGATCCTTATTTTCCTCCTTCCAGTCAACGAGTTTGACCATTTCATAATTATGGCTCTTTTTTTAATTTCCAGACTGTGCTTCGACGTGGACAGACACCGTACGTCAAGAAGGCGTTCCTGTCACCAGACATGACAGCCGTCATAGATCGTGACGTTGTAGATGGTCCACGCACGGGACCCCCAAAAAGCATTTAGCAAGGAGTTAACCTTGTTTAGAGTTTTCCTTGCCGGCTTGCTTTATTTACAAGCTCCATAACATGCGCAATTCATCACGTAACAAATTGATCATATTTCATCAGTTCTTGGAGCGAATTGTGGGAGAGGGTTTATTTCGCGGGTGTTTTTCGAACATTTGCGAATTGGGTTCGTTGTGTCGAGATTCTAACTAAATTAAGGGAAGAGTGTTTGTAATGATATGTGATAAACATGAGTGTATTCAAACTAATCCGTGCTTTTTTTTTCATCTCAATTATATCTTATAAAGCTATTTTCCCATTTATGATAACCTTAATAATACTCTTTTTTTTTAATTCAGTTGTAAGCATTGGGGTGACATTATGTCTCAATTCTTTCATTCATCGCCACTCGTTAGTCAAGATTCGTTTTATTTTTTTCTGTTAGAAAAATTGGAAACGTTCCCCAGTTGTTTAACACTCTGTTTTTTTCTCCCCATTACGACATTGTCTCTGTGAAGTTATTTTCTCCCTGGAAGTAAATTCGTTTTAAAAAGAGACCTGTTGATTAAGTTTCAATAAATTGTCTAAACTGAGTTTTTGTAGAGCACGCAGGTCCATAAGATGTTTTTTCCTAAAATTTAACAAAGCTTTTCGCCGCAATTATTTTTAGTTTCATGATTTTAAGTAGCTGCTAGCTTCCTATAAATTCCCATAAATTCTTTGTCTAAGAGATTAAGAAAGCGCATGCTTAACGTTGAGTTACCTGTGGCTACAAACATGGCTTGCTTGCAGAAGTCGATCGAGGCAAGATTAATCGTTTCAAAACTTAGATGAACGTGGCATCCAAGCGTTTCTAAACAAGCTTTCAATGAGCCAGAGGTTGAGCGTTAAGTTTTTATATGGAAGACACCTTACCGCTATACAATAAAATCTTGCCTGGGTTATATATCTAGCAATCACTGTGGACAACAATTTTCCACTTTTCATTTACCTCAAAAAGTGAGTGTTTATTTTAAAGAAGCCAAAAAAATTAATAAAATTTCTCAAAATGTCATGTTTTTTGGTTTGATTTACTTTCCTCTCAGATTATTTACATCGTCTGCATATACAAATACTTTTAACATAGGCAAACCATGTCAGTATCTGAGCAAATGCGTACCTACCCCCCCCCCCTTACGACATGAACCCGGACCCGAATGGTGCCAGATTAGGGAGGGGTACGTGCGCACTCGGCAGTGGCTCAGATGCTGACATTGATATGAAATGATTAACGATTTTTTTTCAGCCTGTGTAACTACGACTGTCGGTCGATATATTACGACTTACTGAAAGCTTTTTGATACAAAAAGGAGCGTTAGGAAAAACGATACAAACACTCATGAGAAATTTACACCATGATATATCAGTACGAAATCAGTCTTACATGTTAAATTTTTCTTCTATATATATACAAAAGGTTCTAAATTTTAGAATATATTTTCATCATTGCTAAAAGCTCTATGAAATAAATTATTTTGTTGTCAAGTTTAAATTCGTAATGCTTCTATGGTGGTATACAATGTTATACTATGAAAAAATTTTGCGAATGTTTGTTAGTCTAAATTTCGATTATAAAAAATACTGATCTCCGAGTTAAATACATTTACGTTTTTCTTTTTCTTCGCCCGTAATTCCTTCTTGCTCGAGAGAGATCTGACGGCTGATCATTTACAAAACTTCTCTGAGTGATATCTCCGTGCGCGCGAAGATTTAACCGTGTATCGATACTACGCGTCCTCCAGATCTCTCCCGTTCAACAAAGAGATAAAACGCGCGAAATAGAGTCTAACGTTTACAAAACTAAGCTTTTTCTTTTATTGTCCGCAACAATCCCGAAGATAATCTTCGGCATCGGTCGGCTGATTAAGTTCTGTTTGTAGGTTTCTATCGCTTCACCGACGAACACCGACACCTCTTGCTGTACGTGTATTTGTGTTTCCTGAACTTGACCGAAAGTGACGGGCATCGAAGTGTGACAGTTTTCGTGAAGGTGCGCTGTGGCAGACAGCTGGCGCAAGTATTAAACAGGGGTAGGGGAGACTCGTGACTGGGTATGTACAACGAATTACACTGGCCGTAACAATAGTTGTTCTTGACAGTGACTGGTAAACAGCCGTCGACTTTGATGGTTTGCTTGAATGGAAGTGTTTTGCACCAGCCGTTTTTCAGTTCAGATTTCTTCATGATAAAGACGTCATGTTCGTCTTGCGACTTGAGCCCGTCTTCTTCAATTTTAGACGGGCGCGCAGCGGTTGTTGTGATGAATAAACAAAGAATGATGAGTATCTTTGAGATCATTGTTATTCTGAAATAAAAAGAGGGGAAAGTTAAACTCTTTCCAAGGTCTTAGTGTCAGCATTATGTTCTAAAGAGTTTCAGTGGTTGCTGTCTTACACCTAGCGTTAATTATGAAAGCAAGATAGTTTTGTAAAGTAAAAGTATTTATTTTATCATAACAGCACCGGTAATGCTATATTTTTGGTAGCTTTAGAATTGCGATAGAAATGTTTTTTGTATACGAAATATTGTCATAGCTCATTATTAGTGCAAATCAATTGACGTCAAGAACTCAAAATAGAACTTTCCGTATAATTCTAGTTTTGTCAAAGTAAAAACAAGTGTACTGCCAGGAGCGTAGGAAATTGCTATCACTTTTGAATCTGATTGGTTGAGAAAGTGGCGTGAGTTTTCTACACCAATCACAAGGCAGAGAGAAGCAAAATTAATACACGCGCAGGTTACTCCCGTCATTCACTTGAAAAAAATGGAATCAATACGAAAAGGATTACAGTTGTGGTCTATCAGTGATGCCATTCAACCCTAACACCAATCAATAAGTTTTCAATTCATCCTTACAGCATCATCTCCAAGACAAACATCAAGGTGATGGGAATGAAGGAAATAATTGTTAACTAGATTCTACTAACAGTACCATAGGAAATATAAAGAGAATGGTTTGAAAATAAGAAAAAAGGCGTGTCATTCATTTCTGAAAGGGCTAAATCTTTGTCTACCCTTAGGCGGTCTGATATCAAATTTATCTCTCGAGCAAGCAAGATATTGCCCTAAATATCACTAATGTCAACTAGTCTGATATCTTATACGTAATAGGACTAATATGACTGCCCGATGCATGACTCATATCTGATCCCAAATAAGAAAAAAAACTGAATCGTCACGATTACATGGGAAGTTAATGGGAAAAACAATTTTTTAACAGGAAAAACGAGCTTAAAGGAACAACTGGTAAAAAACTCAAATTTTACGATTCCAATTCGGACCAATCGCCAATAGAGTTCTTATTTTTTGATAAAGTTCATCTATTCATTAATTGGTGATTATTTGTGTGTTTGCTTTTATTTGGTTTTGTTTTTTTTTTTTTGTCAAATTGCCCGTAACATCCTTTTTGAAATATCTCATCCTGTACAAAGAAACAGTTTTCAAGTCGAGGTTGGGCTCAACTCCAATAAACAAGTTTTTAATGAAAGAAGGAAACTGGTCTTTAAGGAGGGAAATGAAATACAAAACGCGAACAAAAAATTGATATTTTGCCCGATATTTTTCTTTTGAAGAAAATCCATCAAAGGGGATAAAATTAAACATGGTAGAGGTTACGTATAAAAAATCGACTGCTGTTTTTTCTTCCCGAAATTTTCCTCTAAAAGACAAACCTTTCGCAAAGGCTAGTAGGAAATAACTGCCGAATTCTTTTAGTTGAACGTTTATCAGTCTAGTTGTAAATATGAGATATTAACCGCTCTTTTTATTTTTACTCAGCCCTAAGGGATCGGAGGTTTGCCTTCCAAACAGAAATATCGGATCTGACGTATGGGTTATAGTTTCTTTTGACTGATATTTTTCGTTTACACTGATTCGATTCTTTTAGCTCTACCGCATGATATAATATAAATGTACGTTTTGAGGGAGCAGATTGTCAATAAGGCAATAATTTGCACAGTTTTTACCCAAACAAAGCCCTCATCAATGTAATTCATCCAATTAAAACTCTTACCTCTGTTAAAAACTGATAAAAAGTTCCGTTTTGCTCGGATTACACCAAAATTTAACAACCAGGATAAAAGCGCCTTGAAAAATCCTCAAAATTTTCTTCAGACGTTTACTAGTTCTGACTTCAAATGTTTGTTGTACAAAAACAACTTGATTTTCAGCAACTTATAGTGTTACTTGTAGTCACGTGTCAATGAAGGGCATGACGTCATTGTTGTTATTGACGTCACATATCATCGTCCAATGCGCATTAAGCATTACTGCAATGTTTAAGATCAAATTTCTCAAAATAAGCCGTGTTTTTGTTGTCTTGATGTGAATACTTCAAGAAATTTCGTTCCATCCGAACATAGGAAACTCCTAGGTTCTGTTGCTTCATTTGTTGAAAAGCTATGCGGTTTTAAAAGTACACGGAAAAGGAACGCAAGACGTCTTACAGTCAAGATTCTGAAGAGGCCACTTTGTACAGTGACTGCATGTTACGCCCGTGAATACATCATCCTCTCGACACCGCATCAATTAATCCACCAATTTACCTCAGTAAAGTATAAATCCTTCATCTACATCAACAAAAACAATCTAGCAGTTTCTACTTGAGCAATTCAGTTCCTAAAGTTTTGATTCGTATTACCACAAAAGGCGTAAATAGAAACAAAACATCTTTCCTTTTCGTTCAAACCACAAACCCTGACGTAAAAGTTGCTTAATGGTTTGTTTTGATAGAATCACCACTTAAGTGACTTGTAATATTTTCCGTTGAATCTCAAAAATAGCTGATTTATTGACCATTAAAGGGAGTTGCCGGAAACACGCTTAGGAGCTTAACTTTTGTTTCTGGTAAGCCAGAAGGTCATGTAAATGTTTGAAGATTAATTTCGTTTTTGGATTGAATTTACTGTTTCTTTAGTTCCAGAGCTTTCAACAAAAGCGGGTTATCGGCCGTCTACCGCCGCCCGCTATGAGATCTCTTACCGCTGTCTGTTTAGCCCGCGAGACGACTCCCGTGTTTGGCTTTCACCTTACGGCCCCTTTCTGGGCACAGTCTTCTATTACACCATAAACAGCCGCTTATGGAAAAAGTTATGAAAACGTGTGAGTTCTGCCGTAAAAGCGATGTCATGGTGTGCTGTTTAAATAGTTTAGCAACAATTGTTAACAACTCAACTGTTGTTTTGTTATATAACTGTATCACGAACCAGTGAACTGCAGAATTAAAAAAAATCATTAGTGGTCTTCTACATGATACAGAGAAAATTATTTCACTGTTGTCTCCCGTAACATGCTTTGTGGTGTGTTGAAAGCTTTACATAATTCCGAATATCCTATTATCTGCGATTACAACAGAAGCGTAAACACAAAAGCCCGCCAGAAAATTCGAAAATTTAATTCCTCGCAAACTTAGCTCTTTGTTATTAAAAGTTATTCTTAGATCGAAAACTATGCAAAATCTAAGTGAAATACATTCATTTCTGAGAGTTTTACTTCAATGCTAAATCTCTCTTAAGGGCAGGCGTCTGATCTAAGATACGCACGATTTTCAAGCTTGCGACAACTATCTTTACCCAAAAATGATCACTTGACACCTGATAGGTTTAAAAACTTATAGAAACATTATAATCACAATTTAATTATAGTTTTTGTTCACTTTTTATTCCTTTTGTAATCCCGACAGCCCCCTTTATGGCGCCTGAAGACAATTCCCTTCACAGACAAATGAAAATTAAGAATGACGAGTGCATTCCGCTTAGCGACGCAATACGTGTGTAACAGAAAAGCGATCTTTAGAACAAGTAGGAACAGCAGCTAATTGAGGAGTGCTAATGACTTCAACGCATTTTTGCCACTGACGCGTTAATCTCTATTAACGAGATATTTATTTAGATAAAAGCCGTTTTCTGCTCCTGATGGTGTCATTGTAAACAGCCTTGTTTTCGCTGCGGGACATTTATTGTTTGAGATTTTTCCTGCTGTTATTTAAGCACGCGACACAATTTTGCTCCTTTTGGA